GCCATTGCAACATCGCCTTCGTTGTTAATGGACTTCGAAACAACACGTAAGTTCCTTTTTTTACATTATCCCTTCGTAACTTTACCATATTCTAGTAGCCGTCGTGCCTACGTCAACCATATTCAATAGAAATTCATTTACTTTGTATTTTTTGATAATAAACACGTTTATTTATGTGTCTATATTCTTTCATTCCCAGCATAAACAAGGCCTTGGAAGTAATTCATAATTACAGTCCACTTACAATCAAATTCTTTGTTATCGAAGCCCCCTTGTACGGTACAAACATGTTTTATATAGAAAAATTTTGGATACAGTCAATATCTACCGAGATATATACTATACTTCATACATAATGGGCACCCTGTATATTCAAATAGCTTAGATGGATAAGAAGTAAGGTCAGATTCAATGCAATTCTATAGGATATACCTGATAGCACATTCTTTAGATAATATTCCCCGCATATTCAGCGAACATACTTGAAAAGCAAGACGTTTATACTTATCACATTCCTAGAATATGCTTCGTATGCCCGTATATTCATAGTACTTGCAACGTACAAAAATATACTTTTTAGCGCAGTTCCATAAAACTAAAAAAAATACGGTATTGTGGCCACTTTGTCCATCCGCCCGCCTGTCCGTCCGTCCGCCCTGTCGCTACTACATCTTTATCTTAATACTATTTTTTTCGCTATTTGGTTCGTTATGGTGTCCAGGATTGCACCAAGGAAGGAAGTTTTTCTGTGTTTCTTACTAAAAAAGTTATAGTAAAAAATAAATTTTTTCATGTACCATAATTTTACACTTTTGCCGTTTATTTACGATCCCCGACATACAATTTCGTATTGTCTGTCTGTTGTCTGTCGGTCCGTTTGTCTGCCCATGTGCGCGATATATTTGGGCCGAAACGTCGGATCGCTTTGAAAATTGGTACGCCTCTCAAGGATATAAGCAAGGGCGCTATGGATTTTCAGCTACATAGACTAATGGGCGAAAAAGTTACAGCCCGAAAAATGAGCAAACCTCCAAAAATGGGGTTCTTGTATCATTTTTGTTACAAAGAACATATGAATTCGGAATTCGAAAGTACGAACATATATCTCACAAGCTAGAGGCATTGGGTTGGTTAAATATGGCAAATAGACGAAAGTTTCACTCATCTGTACTATTTCACAAAATAGTTGTAAGTAAAGAACCTGCATATCTATTTAACAAGATCAAATTTTGTACAAATTCAAGATATACCTCTCTAATAAAGCCTCCTTTTCACAGAAGTGCATTGTTTGAGAGATGATTTTGCTATAACATTGCCAAGCTCTATAACGATTTACCTGGTGTCTTAAAAAATATGGCTATCAACATCTTCAAAAAAAACCTATACACTTTCCTGCTAAAATGTCAAAGTTCCTCGTAGCGTGTGATGAAGTCGTTATTTATTTCTTATCTAATACTTTACTTCTTTACTTCTACTATTACTCTTCCACTTACTTATTTACTTCTTATTTCCCTTTGTCGTTCTTCTTACATAAGATTAATAAGAATCCCAAATTCTTTCAAATTTTCTTCATAATACATTTTATAAGTTTATATATACCTAATGGTCAACACTATATAAGCAAGCACGCTTATACTAGTTATAATTGTAAATTCTTTTCTTTTTTTATATTCACATAATTAACTTCACGTATAATTTAATTTAATTTCTACAATGCAAAGGGTTAAGTGGAAGATTTCCCGTTAGCACCTGAACTTCGCCCTTTTAAATTGCGCACTTGTACATATTATTATTAAGATATTCTTGTTACCTTATATGATTAGCGTGATTTAATAAACGACATGATTATTATTATTATTAATGTCCGGTTTTTCTGTGTTAGTAATTCATGCTCCTTAAACCTAAAGCAACTATGCAAACGAATTTAAAAAATGGCGCATGCGCATTCCAGTTTTGACATTTGCGCAATTCAACTTTTTTATTTGTTAAGAAAGTTTAATGTATATACGCACCTCGAACAAAAGTATAACTCATACCAAATTTAAAAAATTGTTTTACAAAGCTATCCTGATCTGAGGGGACAGAAACAACCCCTTTTTTTATACTTGTTATGTTCTGTGGGTTTCTGTTATGTGAGTGCATCGAAAAAATACGCACACCCGTTCGCAATAACACCCACATGCAGGGGCAAGGTGTTGATTTTACAATTTTGTCCCAATTTTCATTAAATAATCGACTAAATAATATATAAAATATAATAAGAGATCCCCTTTTTTGCACATTTAGCCACGATAAACTAAGTAATAGTACATTATATATCAAGGTAGAGAAGTACAGTATTATTGCCTGAGCACCAAGATTACATCTCGAGGCGCTTGCGCCGAGGTGTCTAAGGTGCGAAGGCAATAATAGACTTCTCTACCGTGGTATATATACTATTTTTTTCACTACTAGCACTTGAAATCCTCTAAATTAACATATTATATTGATAAGAAAGTGAACGGTTGGACAGAATTTTTTGTTTATTAATTTAACATGTCAATCAAATACGTAGAAGTACAAGTCAAACAGGCCATATTTTGTTCTGTCATTGAGATATTTTCAAAGAGTAATTTCGTTCGAATTTTTTCAAAATGTGATAATTTTAGGTATGTAATTTCTCTGGAAATGGCGGATGGTAGCAATTATTCATTTTAGAGAACTTGTCCAAACGTTTATTGAGCGAAATTTCGGGTTGTGTTTTCTAAAAGTGACAGCGTGACAGTTCTCATTATTGACTACTAGTTAATAATGTCCTCATTATTAACTACTTTGAACAAATGCCGAGAAAGCCTACTTTACAAGTGGAAAAAAGGTTAATAATCATGTGATCAGACGCTAGTAGTGAAAAAAACACTTTATAATGTCGTTTATCAAACGACCACGTGACTTTTCAATTGCAGTCCTCTTTCAGAAAACGTAACAAGACGGATTGTCGCATAATGCACTACAGAACAAAATCTGCGACTGGACGAGTTTGTTACGAATGAAAGAATAATTCCGAAACCACCACACCTTGTCACGCAAATAAAGGGTAATAGAAATTGTCCGCCATTACTTCAAACAAAATCATATAACGCCGTCAAATCTGAATTGCCCACCCGTCTATAACATATAGGTACTTAAACAAAAAGAGCAAATAAAAAAATCCATTTTGTCGGAAGTTTTTCACGTCCGTTCCACATAAAAGTCGTGATTTTGTTCAGCAATCTGTCAATAATAATGCAACCGCTTCGCTTAAAGGACTTATTTTACAATCGCAGCTAAATTCATTATTATAAGAACGTGTGCAACTTTCCCCCTATATCAAGGGATGTTTTACAGTGTAACATTTGGCGCTTTACCGGCCAGCCGCAAACAGCTCTGTAATTCCGCAACTTACACACTCGGAAGTTGTTCTAAACTACAAGTAGAAGTGGTACAATGTACATCCGCCGGTTTTGCTAGGCATGGAGCATTTTGCTTTAGTGATTACTGCGGTCAGTTAGTAAACTCTCAAGACCATTTCTATTTAAAAATTGAGGTAATCTCCTAAAATTGTGAGGTTAAAGGATGAGTGTACAGATTTTAACTTTCCACAAAGGAAATGTATTAAGTTAGGTACCGAAAAAATAGTAACGCATTATAGAAAGAGAAAAGTATCAGCGCATCAGGCGCATATAAAAAATTTAGGACTAAAGAAAGTGCAGTTCACCTTCCTTTCCTCATTGCTGGCCCGTATGATTTTTACTAGAAAAAGACCACTGCCAATATTTTCTGGATCACCAGGTCACCAAACGGTTTTATATATAAAAAAGTATATATAAAATTTTTCTGTACGTTTGTTTGGGACTGAACTCCTGCTAAACGGCTGGACGGCTTTTGATGAAATTTTGTTTATGTGTTTCTGTGCGTCTTCGGACTCACAATTGGACCCAGTCGGATTATACGATTTTTTTAAATCTTTTTCCTGTACGATGGGATTCCGTTATATTTCTGTTTCATAGAAACAATAATAAATCACTAAACCAATTAATTTCAAACACGATGTATACCATGCGAATAGATTTTCTCTAGGCCCATAGAACCTTTTGCAATTTCTATAATCAAATCAAGGAAATATTGAATGATGAAAAGCTTATTTGGACATATTACCCCGTACGCAAGCAGGCGACAAATAAAATAAGATACCTTAATTACTTACAATTTCTATCTCTATCTCGACTGGTATATTTCTACTAAGAAAAGAACTCGCTATTTGCAATAAATAACTCAACTCAGAATGCTGTTTCAAATCAAGCATATGCATTAGTCATTAATCTATAGATTCTAAAATACTTTGCAAGTCTTGAGCTTTGTGAAAAATTTGAAAGGGGTTTTACATATTTTGTTACTGCCTCTCCTTACCCCGACAATGTACCCTCCTCCTGCGTGTTAAGATGCTGAATAGGTGGACTATAAAGTATACCTAAGTTTAAATTATGAGACATCGGGAGACTGGTAAATGAAGCACCAATCATATCCTTTTTTATATCTTTCGCCCCCATTAAAATAAACTTTTACTAGCGACAATAAAAAAAACTGAAATTAAAATTTACGGTTGCAAAGAGATCACCGCTCCGCTTTTATTATCACGAAAAAGATTAGAAAATGGCCGCACGCGATGTGACGAAGTACACACAGTCTGTTGCATAATGCCTTCGAAACGCAAATTTCGCCGCTGCATAGATATGATAATGTGAGCGATTCAATTTCTTTGATAGCACCCGTGCAATATTCGTTGCAACTGCAACGCTGAAAGGAATGATTTTCGAAGTGCATAAATTGAATGTTTATAAAGACTTTATTATGGAAATCGGCCCGCAACTTCAAACGTATCACATTATGCAAAGTGACAAACGTTCATTTTGTTCAAAATGCATTATACGTATACGTAACTTTAGTTTGAAGAAGTACCTACAATTCATAAGGGATAAACTTACCTAATTTGCGAATGCGGCACTAAGAGGTAAGAGCCAAGATACCTGCAACAAAAAATCATAAATAAATCGGAATGTCTCGCACAGAGAAGAATATGCTACAGGATGGGGTGGCGGGACTATTAGTCATTTAGATAAGCACATATTTTGCGTAATGAAAAATGTGAAAAGGAACCAGTTAAGCCATTAATATTATTTTAACTGCGAATTTGTGACTTTTATACACAGAAATTACTGAGGATTTTTTAAAAACAATCACGCAGAGGGGCGGAAGTTCGCAATAAAGGTTGCTTTTGTAATAAATGGTCGTGTTTTATTTATACTAAAAATAACACTAATAATTACACGTTTCTCCAAAAATGACTGTGCATTGGAAATGAGGGTATGTTTACAAAACAGTGGTCTGTAACAAAATGGAACGTACTAATGAAAATTTTCACACCATCATTTTATGATTTCAAATTCGCTTTAATTCCAAAGGACGAAGGCACTTTTCTTTTAAGTCTCACGGTTGCTCGTCATTATATAACGGGTTTGCATATTAAGGAGGTTGACAATCCCTTCTTTGGACACAAAGGTCGACCTTTCGAAATCAACTTGAAATTTTTTAGCAAACATTTTTTAATCGGTCCCCGGTTAGTCCTTAACATCAATCTTACGTGACGTAAATTTCTTTTGAAAATCTGCTTTTCTAAATTGCTTGCTCGAAAAATTAAACACAACGTAATGATAAAATTGATGAAATAAAATCAAATAATGAAAATTCATTCCCTTTTGTATTTATAAAATAAACATTAGAGCTGCATATTTGAACTTTCCGGCAAACTCTAAATTTTTTTGAGCTAGCGTAAAATGCGAAATTTCCACGATGCAAAGATGGTACACTTTACTTTGGTGAATGTTTTTCCAAATGCGGGCGGTTCAAACAAAACAAGTTCTAACGACACCAGTCAATCTCTTTAATTGTTTTTGGGAATAAGTAACCTAACACCTGAGATTAAAGGTAATCCTTGGCAGCGTAAAATAATACACTGGCACGTTTAAGTGATCTGTCCTCGACCGCTTAATTTGATATATTATGCGACAGAAATGTTTTTAGTCTCTTCTTTTTATACAACTATCCTTTTCATGAGCATCTATAATAAATTGATACGGTAAAATTAATTCACTTATGGGTGTAAAGGTACGAAGTTCGAGTTTAAATTTTCGATACAATAAGATCGAAAGAATGCCAAAGTGTATTAATGTCAAAGGCAAATAATTCGAAAATCAATGAGACATATTAATAAATGGTATAGTTTTCACAAGTTCTTCCGTAAATCAATATCGTATGAATAAACAATAGCTATAGGCGGACTGAAATGGAATGGACTGTAAGGGGTGGCAAATAGGAACGGGAAGAATCTGATTATACGCGAATAAAAAGTTTAGGCAGTAAATCTAAATGAAATTAATATCAAGAACTCCCAACTAAAGTGTTGACGGCAAAGCTCGCAAAGTGTATGAGTTCAAATGTTTCTCGATGTTTTAAAGTACAACGTGCCATCTCAACAATCCTTTACAAAAGAAAAATGAATATACAAATGCCAGTTATTGTGCACGGAAAAAAATGAAATGTAAAAACAACAAAAAATATTGAATTAATTTTGATGGGTTGTATCCCAGCACTGTCAGATTTGAATGTATAAAGCTCCGTGTTTTGAAATGTGCGGCAAGGCCCGCTGCTGCCTAATTTAGCGAAACAAACACAATGTATAAATTTATCTTTTAGCGAAAAAACGAGTTGTTCAAACTGGGTAGTTGTCAAATATTATTTTAAATACGAAATAATTTTATTCATACTCCGTTTCACAAATGAAGTGATGTTTTATGTACCCGGTTAAATTACAATAGCGGTTCCAGTAATATTTTAGGTGGTGTTTACTTACTAAAAGTTAAGGATGTCTGATTATAACTTAACTAAAAGTAAACAAATGTTTAGAAATGCACACGATAAGCAAACATAAAATTAAAATGATTCATGTGTAAGTTAGGTGGTACCCGAAGTTTGAAGAGTGCACTTTGGATTGTCCGCTAAATAGTGGAGAATTGTGAAGACTAGGTAGTTCTTAACAAAGGCGTAAAACGACACGTACTCGTAGATTTATGGAGTTATACTCATCTGACGGTTAATTTCAATGGAACAAGATTACTTAGATTAGAGTTGGTTAAGTCAAAGCATCAAACGTTTTTTAAATTAAGGTAAATCGATAGGCAACACTTTATGTCTCTTCGCAGCCAACATTTTTCATAAACTAAATGGAATTGGAATACCGACAGTTAAACTTTTCTGATAGTTCTGACACTTATTAGTATAAAGAATCTGCTATCTGGAATTTAAGATAACAGAATGTGCCATAAAAATGTAGCACGCTGCAAACAGAAATTTTTGATTTTTGTCACAAAATTTTAATTTTAACCCTTCTTTAGTTTTTAAAAAAGAACACACTTTTGCTTCAAATTTTAGATTGTTTGAGGTGCCAAAAGGCAAGGTACAAAAGTAATCGTAAACGATTTACCAAAAGAAAGTGGGTTCTGGCCATGCACATTGCACAGTCCATTTTGTGACTTGTGTTCTCAATTAGTTCTTGTTCGCACATTAGGAAGTTATGTCTGATGCAGTCTGCACATGCGAAATTAATTTTTGGAAACCTAACATTGCTTTTATAGGAAGTATCTTCCGCTGAAGTTTAAAAAGAGTTCGACCCCATAACGAACCAAATAAAAAGTAGAGCAATAGCTCTTACTAAGGTGAAGAGTCCGTAGAGACGGACGGACGGATACTTAAAGTGGCCACAATTTTCATTAATTTCTATGGAAATACGCTAAGAATATTAAATGTTTCATAATTTAGTACCGATCAATATATGGTAAATGTTCCTTTATAATTGAATTTAAGGAGTCCACCGGCAATCCTCGAGTTTTGCCAGTTTATATTGCTTTGATCGATTGGGTTTAAAGGGTTTATCAGTGTGCTAGAAAAATTAATTCCTCCTTCATTTTGAAACTACGTAATTGTTAAAAGAATTCGGATAAAATTGATATGCGTTATTTGCGGGGGTTGTAACTTCTTTAATAGATACATCAAATATTGTTGTTCCTTTGGGTTTAAAAGGTGCAATAGTAACCTTCTAATTGCGCCAAAAATTATTTCCCTCATTTAGAAATTACGTATTTTTTACAAGACGCTTTTGCGTCATAAAGAATCATCAATTGTGGGGGTTTAAATTTTTCTAATACACCAAAGATTTTTGTTTCACTGGGCCTTACCAAATCCCGTGTCCCTATTATTGTTCTTTTTATCGGCCGGGGTGACATTTTTCCAATTTCTTTCTTTTCTGATTTCTTACATTGACACTACGTATTTTTTAAATGAATTCGCTCAATCTTTAATTGTGAGGGTTTTGTTACAGCTCAATTTACCTAACAACGGTATACTGGACGATTTTTTACTATTGGGGAAGGAAGAGTGTTCTCAGAATACACTAACGACAATATGGTTTCTAGAATCCTCGAAAAGAGCGTTCTCGCGCCTAACAAAATTTATAAATTTATTCGATGCCTGTTTAATTCTACACGAATGACAGCAAAGAGAAAGGCGGAAAAGAATCACCTCTTGGATGAACTCTCTTCAAAAGCACACAACTTGTACTATACGTAAATTTTCTCAGTTCATTGGCATTTTTGCCCAGCCGTAAAATACGGATGGTTATACACGAAGGCATTCGAGTGTGCCAAATATTAGGATTTATTTAAAAGGGGAGACTTGCAACCCTGTGCATGGTTGTAGGAAAAGACCCGCCCGAAGTTAGCCCCCCAACATTAAAATAATGAAACGTCAACTACTACCATCGGTAAGATCTGGTTGGGCAACCACATTCCCTTTATCGGTACCCACTTCCAACGTCCCACTCCACCGCCACCATCAGTAAGATCTTGTCGGTGGTAACCACATTTCTTTTGCCGGTACTCAATTTTTTGGGCACTTCTCATAGCTCGGGTTTCTATTGGCGGCACAAGAAAGACCGTGATTCGAGCTTTAAAAAACGTTAAACCGCGTGATAAAATTCGCAACGGAAGATACCTTTTGGGCGCCCGAAGTCGACCACCCCTCGAAGACGCGCGCCTTGCAAAAAGTTAATTTCGTCCCTTGGAACAAAACAAAACACCGCCACGCAAGAGTTTTGCGCGTTTTACACGATTTTTCCGACGATACCCATTTGAAAACTGTCGGAACAAAATAGTGGAAGATAGGAAAACCCTGTAAAAAAACTCTAGGTTAGCACACCACGCTCGGGGATGGCGCCCAGATGTCGCCGACACCATGTAGCTCAGTCCCTAAAGATGTTAATTACACGAGCGCTGTACAGTGTACACTCCTCGCCTTTCTACAAGCGTTCTTCTATTGACCCGTATTTGCGCTCCAGCCAGCCAGCCATTTATTTTGAAAAGACTACATTAGTCATAGACAAATGCCGTTACCGTTACTTCGAAGTATTTAGGCAACTTTCATTAATAACAGTACAGTCAAATTAGACCAAAAAATGGGCATTCCGTGCATCAGATATGTCATCTTTATTTATTCTTTTAAATTGTTAGAATGAATATGGATCTGAAAAATCCAAGTTTTCGACATTGAAAGACCTGTGCGAGAGACACAGCACTTGAAAATATGTCATTTTTCTTACCATTTTTTGGTTTTTGGTTTTACTCCTGAAGGACCGACTTTAATGCAATTATTGTCGTATGCTTTTTTGAACTAGACAACATTTCTGACAATTTAACCATCTCCTCAAGTCTAATAGTTTCCGAGATACGGCGCTTCAAATATTGGTAAATTTATTAGTTTTACAAGTTTTATCAAAATTTGCGATTTTTTTCGCAGAAACTAAACTTACCAAATTTGAACGATGAATTGTGGTAAGTCGTGAGTCGTAATAAACTTGTTGAAGAAGTACTAAAAATTGCGGATAATGAAAGCAAATTAAATATTGATTTTTGTCTTT